CCAATACTATAGACATTTTAGATCAAATAAGTACTAGAAAGAGCAGCATACAGACTATTGACTCTTGGTGTTGGAGATAATATGATGCAGAGCACAGACAAACAAACAATCATAGTTCTCACTTGAAGCACAAATGACTAGGCTCAAAGTACCGTATTTTGGTACATGATGTAAAAACCCTAGTCTCTTGTGAAGGAAAGAGAAAAAGAGGATGTCTAGCAGATAGATTCAATTATAGCAGCAATTGGTGCAAAACAATACTCGCATAACATGAAGATGGCAATATATTTAGTATTATCAACAGCTCCCTAAACTCACTTCATGCCTTAGCTCTGATGATGTTATCTAGACTGATAATGGAATATCTGCAATAAGAAAACCAAGTTTAGGAAACGCAAAGAACCCAACATTTTTACTCTGACACACACATACATTCTCCATTATTGTGAAATGTGAAATGTTGAGATTTTGTTTAGGTGCTTACATAATAGCCTATTTACCAGAAGCCAAATTGGTGAATTTGCTTCATGCCAGTCCTTCTTATTCCTAAGGATGTTTTTATCTTGACTTGTTTTCTGTGAGTATATTTCAGACAAAGTATTGAGCCAAATGATTAAGTATTTAAATGAGTATCCAAGAATACCTATGGGCTTACATGAGGCTGAGAGGCATACTTGGGATTAGTAATTATGCTGGTGATTAGAATTATGTTTTGCAGCATGCATGCTTTTTATTTAGGAAGTGTTAATTAAAAGTTTAATTAATTAAATGAAAAGTTAATTAAATTTGCAACATTTGGAACATAGACCCTGGCAGTCAATGTGTCAACCCTGAGCCTAACCATGCTGCAGAAACTTAAGATATACATTTCTATGGAGATTTGTCTCAACAAAATGTCTGCATACCATACAAAAAATGTTAAACAGCCTGCTTTTTCTTCATACATTGGCCCCTGCTTATGTGAAGATGTGTATCTATTGTACTTTCTGTTGTGACTCAGCAGATGCCTGCTGTGAGTCTTTTCGGGATACAAGATTCATTATGCAGCTGGGGCTTGTTAGAGGCAGGTTTGGAGATAAAAGGACGGATGGTGCTATGCCCTAGTCGCAGGAGTCAACGTTCCTTCGTGCGTTCCTTGATCCTTGATCGTGGTTTCTTTGCTGTACACTTGGAAAAGTG